CTTAGAGCCGTGCATGCCGTAGTCGTTAGACCATTGACAGTGTGTGTGTCAAACGCTGCCGCTTGCGGTTGAGAAGTCAATGACCAGGGCAATAGAGTAGTGTGACATACCACGCTACAAAAGTCGGCTGTTTGGATGGATCCCATTGTAGGCAGGGTATCCGCAAATGTCGGATGGCGGCTCTCATCGCTTGGAATGCCGAAATTAAACCACAAAGTAATACAGTAGAGGTCCCTGTTTAGTGCCGGGGTGTGCGCGAAAACTTCACCGGCACTATACCGGGCACCGGCACTATTCAAAGTACAGAACGACTTGATATTCCAGTGCGTGCGAGCCGAAAACACCAGCACTATACCGGCAACTGGCACTATTCAACCGGCACTAAACAGGGACCTCTACTGTACGTCGGTAGGCGGAATACAGCACACAGAAGATAGCAGGACCATGATGCACGTATGCTTCCCCTATCAGCAAGTGAGACCTACCGCTATACGATAACGGGAGCGGATGAGGGACGCCCGCCGTCAACATACAGATCAAACTCAAAGGCCGGCCAGCAGCTGATGTGCGCTGTATCTTCCCGACATGTGCGATTCTGAGCGTGTTCAGGTATCATACGAAAAAACGCCGATACACAGAGACTTTGAGAGAGAGGTGGAGGGACAGTCGGACAGACAAGACGGAGACAGCCAGATTTTACCTCGTATAGCACATAATGGGGACTTGCAAAAGAGTCCGCAAGAACACTCATCACCGAGAGCAGCACCGTAATTTACGCCTTAAAGAAGGGCATCAAGTAGCTACGAGAGACCAGATTAGCCCATGCTCGTACCTCTCTCGTAAGCTTTGCCATGGCGAGCTTTCCGTACGCAGCGTCGTTGAAGGAGGCTTCTTGAACCATTTTCTGCGTCGAGAAGTCGACCGCCGCTGCAAAGAGCTCATCCGATAGCTCTGTTGGAGTCCGAACCGGCGCATTGCGGTGGGACAGAGTGGCCGAACAATGGAGGAGGTTTTAGCGCTGATAGGCTACTCAGTTCAGGAGAAGCCAGTGGTTCAAAAGTTCAGTTTACACACGTAGGAGGAGGCGTTTGTAGTGCGGAGAGAATACAAAGTTCAGTAGAAAGCCAGGGCTAAAAAGTTCAGTTAGCATATTGATGAGAGTTTACTCAGTTCACTAGCCGATGGTCAAAAATTCACATAGAATATGTTGGAGGAGAACCCAATCTCTCCACTGTCGCGATCGTGTCTCAACACAGCAAATCTCCGACACCAAGAATACAGTCCCTGACAAAGTTCTTATCTGCTGCCTCTCTGCTTGTCACGCTGCCTGCCTCATCTGTCTCAGACACACTACGGCTAACGCTTCAACGTGGCCGACCGGATTGCGTGGTCGATTTCAATTAACAGATGCAAACACACATGTACACACGAAGAGTTAACTACTAGGGTACGCACGCTAGCGCGGTCGATGCCAATAACAGAGGCAAACTCAGCCACATTCATCACGATAGATGCCTTGTCACCGACAAGCAGGCTATACGGTCGACGCCAGCAGTAGCAGGAGTAGACACACACACACACACACACATCTGTTGCTACCGTTTGTCTTGAATCCGGAGAGCACTTTAGCCTCCCTCATGAGGGTTACCAGATCATGGCCTTTACAAGCATTGTCTGTTTTCAGCCTCACTGAGACCGACGTCTTTTCATTGGTCCATCCGCTCACACCTTCCGGCAGTTCCCTTCCCGTACACGCAGTCGTCATAAGACAGTCCAGCACATCCCACCAGACAACCTCCTGCTCCCATATGCTCGTCATGGACACGTTCAGCGCCGTGTTCTCCCACGAGTTCGTGCTGCCGCAAGGGTGAGAGTCGTTTCGGGATGCCCCACAGGGGTTAGAAGCGAGTCTGGCGCCGCACGTTGCGAGGCAGGCGCGCGTCTGTCAGTGCCATGATGAGTGCGCCAATCAACACTCGCATTAGAAAAAACAAACCAAGCAACGACACACCGCCGTCACAAACACACACAAGCAGCAAAATGAAGGCGGTGGGGCATCGACACTACCGCCACCCCCGCATAAAACACTACGGCACCGCCGCCTCACTGCTGTCCACTGTCCACAACCAACAGGCTCCACAATCCTATCTCCCACATCCTATCCTAGCTCGACGCCTCTCGTCTAGTGCGGGCGCGTGCTCTGCACGCTGCCTAGACCCGCGGAACCTAGCCGCACAAAACCCGTGGTCCCAGCCCTGCAGTAACGAGCGCGCTTTGTTCTAGTACAGTATATACCCGAACCACGCTAAAAAAATGTCGTCGCGGCGAGGACCATCAACGCCACGAGAACCAGTACCAACTCCCAAGACAGCATCACTGTCGCTACCACAACAGCAGAAACAACTACCAGCAGACATGTAAGCTTCCCAATACAGCCTCTCGCGTTAAATACTGAAGGCAAGGACCCCAGAAAGAAGGGTGGAGCACAACAAAACACAAAAGTCGAGTTATTGCCTTCCTGCTTCTCCTGGGTGTCCCTGGCTGGTGCGGTAACCACATACATAGTCTGGCTGCACCGAGAGGCGTCGACTGGCGTGCCAAGACAAGATGGAAGCAACCCAAGAAAAGTGACACAATAAACACATCCTGTTATTGTTATTGTTTTCACATTAAAAAACAGTTTCGGTCTCCGCTCGGCATCTTCAAACATCCAAAAACAAATCGTGGAAAAACAGAACTTTCGCTGACGCTATGGATCGACCTAGCTAATCTATATCTTCAGACACTTTTCAATAGATATACATTCGTTGGGTAAAAATATATATATATATATATATATTCTCCGGAGGGGTATGTGGTAAGAGCCAGTACAAATACAAGGCCTCTCTCTCTCACACTTCTGTCCAGGAAGGGTCGTTAAGAGCCTCCCCCGACAGCTCCACAAGACGAGGGCAAGTCTCCAAGTTTGGCTCCAGGTAGTCGTACTGGTCGTCCCCTGTGTGCCAGTCTAACACCGCGCCAGACACGTTCAGCATGCTGGCGGTCAGTATCTGGACCCACGTGTCGCGAGAGGTGGGATAGTGGGGGAGGGGGGGAGGGGGGTGTACTCTTATGTTTTGCATGCCCTAGCGGTTAGACCGTCGACCACGCGTCCTCGAGAGGACGGAGCATTGTTCCCACAGGACAGATCACCGATGGCCAATCGTTCCTTTCTACTTTGCCAAAGGTGGCTCAAAAATGTCTTCCCTAGTCTGTCTATCCTAACGATATCCCTTCCCGCCTTTTCAACCCACCTCCTATGCCCCACTACAGCTACCGTCCTTTCCNGCCCTCTTCTTGTACCACTGACATTCCGCGACTACATGAACACGGTCTTCGCATTNATTTTAAACCACTTCCTACTCCCAGTACAGCTACCGTCCTTTCCTCTCTATTCCATGCCTCAAACATCTCCCTGTACGTTCCATCTATTTTTCCCAGCTCAGTCACGTACACTTCCCTCTCCTTCTTGTACAACGGACATTCCGCGACTACATGAACACGGTCTTCGCATTCGAAGCCGCAATCACATTTGAACTCGTCGTCTTCCTCGTCTACCGTCCTATGTCTTCGTCGAAGTTCTCCAAGGCCAATGTCCCCGGTCCTGAATTTGACCTTAAGCTTTGTTCCTGCATCCATTGGTCCATGTAGGTAGTCCTTGAACCCTATTCCTTCCTTCAACATTCCGTACACTTCTAGACCCTCCTTATCCTTGGATTCTTTCCTCAGATTCTGTTCTTCTCTCTCGGCACAAGCAACAGATATCTTTTCCCTGAACCCCTTTAGGCCCTCCGTTTCCAGCGTTTCATCTTCGTCGATGTCGAGCCCCTTCCATACGACCTCTACAACCTTGACCCATTCCGTGGGTTGTCTACCCCTCTTTTTGTTTGCCCCTTTCGCCTCCCATACTATTCTCGGCAACCTCGCCTCTCCCATGCTGCACATGCGATACTGCCATGTCAGCTTCCTCGCGTCTCTTCCCGACCGTAGGGATTGGATCCCCAATTCTGCCCTCACGGCTNTACTGCCATGTCAGCTTCCTCGCGTCTCTTCCCGACCGTAGGGGTTGGATCCCCAATTCTGCCCTCCCGGCTGCATTACTTGCGGGGGGAGGGGGGGGGTCAACCTAGCCCGCTGGACCATGTGTGTATGTGTGTTTTCCTGCTCTCCTCTTTTGATGTATTTCCTCTTTGACGCTGCCTGTCGTGATTTGTCCCTATCTGCGGGCTGGATGTTGTGCGACTCCGCGCAATACCAGCACCGCTCGAAATCGTGACACGGCAGCATCAAAAGCGGGGGGAGGGGGAGGAGGCGACCGATTCGTAAAACCTAGCATCAGGATGGAATGGAGCACAATACCTCGGCCAGACCCAAGTGGAATAGACCCAACAGCAGAGCACAGAATCGGGCCAGGGTTAGCTAACTTCGGATAGACCAGAGGCGGCGCCCACTCCCTGATCCCCCAAAAGACTCCTAAGAACTACAAACGATAAGTCCTCTCGCCCTCTTTCACCTGCCCCGACATGACTGTCCTCTGCTCGTCGTCGCTGCGGAGGTAGAGAGCCCCGCTGTCCTGTAGGTCCTTAGCGGTGGCGTTCGCGGCCGCCAGGCAGGACGGGTTTCCGCACAGGTAGGCGTCTCGAAGGTGCCTGGGCCCCGTCATCGGACAGAAAGGGACACGTATTTGTGTTAGAACTGGCACGAAAAGATGGCAGGTATGTTGCGCATGAAACATACGTATATTTTTTAACTCCCGCGACCGGTCCTAAAAACAGCAGGGACCACGACAGGGTAGAGCCAGAGAGAGGGGGGTGTACTCATAGTCGTGCATGCCGTAGTCGCTAGACCATTGACCTCGCATCCCTACAAAGTCGGGACGGAGCACGCCGGGTTCTCACCGGACCAGGCTCTCACATCACCAAGCGCGAAGCGCCGTGACGTATTCGGCGAGTCGCATGACTAAGGGTGCGCTGCATCCTGCTAAGGGTGTTCGGCATCCTGTGCTTACTTCCGTGCATACGGATGACAGCTGCGTATGACTTAATTTATTTGCTGGTGCTTCACTTCCTGAGACAGTTGTAAGCACTGTGTAACTGCCTCGAGGGTGCTTGACCATTTTAACACAACGTGGTGCGATCATCCCCCTTGCGCGGAGTGAGGGTTCTCCACCCCGCACAACATGATCTNTCTCAAACATCTCCCTGTATGTCCTATCTATTTTCCCAGCTCAGTCACGTACACTTCCCTCTCCTTCTTGTACAACGGACATTCCGCGACTACAT